GCTGGTAATTCACCGATCTGGCATTTTCCAGCTAGATCCACAGTGGATCTGGTCGAAAAAGGCCAGATCTGGCAGTCAGCGACGGCCAAAGAAATGGCCATCATTGACCAAAAACGACGGCCATATCTTTGGCTGTTGTTGACGACCAAAGATGGCCATCGTTTTGGCCTTTTCCGGCTGTCGCGGCCACAGCAGGCCGTAGATCTGGCCTTTTTCGGCCAAATCCGTGGTGGATCTGGTCGAAAAAAGCCATAACGACGTGTGGTGGATCTGGTCGAAAAATGTCATAACGACGTGTTACGACACAGATCTGACTAGTTTGTGTCGTAACGCGATTTTTCGGCCAGATTCCAGCGGTGGTGGCAGAATCTGACACTGCAGGTGGTGGGGGTATTTTTGTCATTTTATATATTAGGGTGTTTAATTAAATTAGTAAACCTAGGGACTTTTTTATAAATTTTTAAATTTTACCTCGTAATACTCCCATATTCAACTATCCAATATTATTTTCAAAATCCTATCCAAAATAATAAACTAAACGCACCCTTAATTGTTCGAAAGACTATGTCGCCCCTTTTTGCTTGAATTGATACTATAGTTAGAAATTTCCTATAATTCCTTTAAATTTTCCCCAAGTACATTGGAACCCCCTTGTTATTGTAATTTAACAGTTGACTCCCTCCCCAGTCCCCTCTAGACATTCCACCCCAAACATGGTGGCGCAGTCTCATCCTTCGCTACCGGCCCACCATTTTTTTTTTCTATTGTCTCTCATGTTTATCTCTTTCTATTTTTCAAATTAAAGAATTCGCAACACATTAAGAAAAAAAAATAAGGCATTTGTTAAATATTCACCACAGTTGGTTTTTTTTTTTTTTTTTTGTGAATTTTAATTTTTACTTGTCAAATTTTGAATCTTACTTTAGTTTAAGAAAAAAATTAATGAAAAGACAATTTGTCCCTTTTTTTGGTCAACTGAACTGAGCTTAGACGTCGTTTAATATTAGGAGATGTTTAATTTTTTTTTTTTAAATCTTGCGGGGTAAGTTGTTTTAAAACATTAACAAATTTAGAATACCTCTTTGTTTGGAAATCTATCAAGTACCTCTCTGGCAGTCAATAACGGTTGATAGTATTTAACATTTGAGTTTTGATAATGAATGTCTAAAATACCTTCAAATTTGAACTAATGAGACATTTAATATTATTAAAATTGTTTAATAGATGTCATGCAAAAAACTTAAAATAGAAAGATAAATAGATAAATAAATTATTAATGAATTAACAAAGCATAACTATTAAAAATATTAAAAAAAGCATAGAATCTTGTACAGACATGTATATATTCAACACACCAAAGACTTCTGCAATACGTAAATTTATCACATATCATAGTAACTTAGCTCTATATCATAATTTCTGATTAACTCCTCCAAATTCTTCTATAGTGTGCAAATTTTTTTAAATGGATCTTATTAAATAGCGTCAAATAATAAGTACTAATACAATTTAATACTAAATGATAAAAATTCAGTCAAATTTTCTCTAATTTAAAACTATAAAATTTGTTATTTAGTGTTTCCTGAATCATGCCACAGCTGATCTACAGTGCATACATAATTCTTATATAAAAAAATCTCGACAATAGAAGATGTTTTTAGAAACTACACTAAATGTTATGGACTAGATAGCGTAAATAATTACTTAACAAGAATCTCAGAAATTTACTAAAGCATATATAGTTTTCATGCCTTACTATTAGTTGTAACGCCCCACTTGAGGTACGTAGTTAATGTTCTTCTTTTACTCTTATTTGAGCCGGTTATTAGTATTATTGTTTGGTTGACCTTGATGAGTGGTATGTTGAATACTTGCCTTGAAATTGGTTAAAAATAGAAGGAGTAGTGTTCCAGGCTTCGCCGGGGCGAAGAAGAATTTTCGCTGTGGCGAAGAGGTGTTGAAACCCACGGGGAAGCTACTGGACAGCTTCGCTGCGGTGACAGAAGCTTCTTGCCTCGACGACGTGCCGACCAAAATGCTTGTTAAGTTTTAGATATTTTCTTCCCTAAGGGCAATTTGACCATTCTATCCCTAATTAGTAGGAAAAGTGGGAGTAAAATGTAAGGATTTTCATGGAGAATTCGTTAATATGGGGTGTGTTTGTATGAATCAAAGGATATAGATGGAATTCTCAAGGAAGAGTAAGGGCAAAATGGGAATGCTTGTGCATAAATTGTATTAAAAGGAATTAAGTCATTGCAAACCCTTCATTCTTCTTCTCCACCGCCATTCTCTTTTCTTACTTCCTCTCAAATTCTCTTTCTTTTGTTCAAGGATTTTTAGTGGGCTTTTGGAGTGATTTGGGGTAGAAAATCAATCTAAGGCATCCTAAGGTAAGGATTCTTGCTTTGGATGTGAAGTTTTGTGAGATTTTGTGTATAGTTGAATATTGAGGGCTTTTGGTTGAATTGTTTAAAGGGTAGAGAAAAAGTCAAGCAAACCAAGAGAAAGGAAGTGCTAGTGAGATCTCTCCATCAAAAGGTAAGTAAATCCCAACCCAAGTTGAGATTTGAGAACTTTCTTGATTAGAGATTTAATAGCAATTATGTATGTATGTTATATACATGTTATATGCTATGTTATTGAGTTTTAAATGGAGATTATTATTGCTTGTGGTTGTTCATACACTTCAATTATGAGAAGTGAGATGTGGGTTGGGAATGTAGTTTGAGATGGAATTGAAGGATATTGAAAAATCCTTTTTGGAAGTGTTATTCTATGGCAGGAATTATGGCTATGTGAGGGAGTTTTCTCCCATTTTGGATGGTTAGAGAAAGACATAGAATTATTGTTATAGTAGAGTCTTGTTATGCACTTGAGTTGTTTGATGACATGCCTAATAGAGGTTTGAATATGAGTAGTGAACCTTAATTCTTGCAGCATTGCATGTTGGCATTTCATAAGTGCATTAGTGGAAATGAACCATCCATATGCATTAATTGTGCATTGAGAAGTGACTTAAGAAAGAGTAGAAAACTTTATGTATGAAACTACTCTAAGGGTAGAGAGAATGAGAAGTGCTAGAGTAGAGTGAATGAGAAGAGCATTAGAAACAGGTTGATGCTTTGTGATCGTCACCCGGCAGTTATCAGAAACGGGTTGATGCTTTGTGATCGTCACCCAATACTTATTAGAAACGGGTTGATGCTTTGTGATCGTCACTCGAAAGTCATGAGAAACGGGTAGGTGCTTTGTGATCTCCACCCGATAGTTATGAAACCGGGTAGGTGCTTTGTGATCCCCACTCAGTAGTCACTAAGAGTGGGTTGGTGCTGTGTGAACTCCACCCGACAATCATGAAGAGTGAGATGGTGCTGTGTGAAAGCCATCCGGTCGTACCTCCGATAAGATGAGGCCATGACGTTCAGTAGAAAACAATAGAAAGAAAGAGTGAGGAAAGAATTAAGAGAAATAAATACGGGAATAGACAAATAGAGGGTTTACTTACTGAGCATTATTTTGTGTTCACCCCGTTATTTTCCTTTGTGGATGCAGGATCTAGGTGATGATGCAGTCAGAGGGGCGTCGGCAAGCGAGAAGCAATAGTTACACTGTTTCCCCTGTTTTTGTCTTCTTAAATAGCATTGTGTAAATAATGCTTTTTGTGTATAAAAGACTTATTACATATAATAAAAAGAAAAGTTTTGGGCTCATTTTCTATTATTATTATGCATGCATTGTACTAGTTTACAGCAGTTGTTACATTAGTTATCTAAGTTAATCTCTATATGACCTCTAATTTTTTGAGTAGTTAAAATGAACGATATATGAACTCAGTAGGGGATCCAGAAATTTTTACTAGAGTGGGCCAAAGTAAAAATTAATTATACATTAATACTTTTGTCCATTAATTTTTTTGTTAGGGTGGGCCAAAATATATAAATTATACATATTAATATTTTAAAAAAAAAATTCATGGCCCACCCAAAAAGTGGCTGGATCTGCCCTTGTATGAACTTACATAATCTATAAATTTACTCTCTTAATTAAGATTAACAAACAACGAAGTAGGCATCACATTTGTGTTTTTTTATTACTCAACAGGTGATGTTGAATTTTTTCCAAACAACTTAAATGAATGATTAAGAAAACCATCCCATATCATATACAATTGGTTTGTGTTACATTAATCTTAATAATGGGCTTGTTTTTAAAACCCAGTTAATGGTAATTTATCACTAAACATATTGGTCTTGACCTTGATTAGTTTAGTTTAATTATGATAGATAAACACTTAAATCAAAAGTTTTAGTTTAATTATGTTAGATAAAAACTTAAACCAGAAATTCAAGTTATTAGCTAAAGATTTAGGTGATAGAAGAAAGTCCACGGTATTACAGAATGTTGCCGTGGTATCATAAGTCGATGCATGAATAATATATAGTTATTATATTTAATAGTAACTATCAGTCTCATTAATATAGAGATAGATGAGAGAGAAAAAGTATTGAGATGACATAAATTCATTGGTTGGTTATGAATGATGTACCGGAAGGGATATAAAAACTAATTTTACGGGGGCAAATTAAAAATATAATAATATAATCATTAGATATGTATTTTGTAAAGTAAATGAGTAAATCAAATCTAAAAAGATCAGATCAAAATATATAAAACCAAGACAAACTAATGGACATTTTTTTTTGAGTTAGGAAAACCAGTCCCAACTCACTACTATGTAGGTATTCTAGATTAATAAAAGCCGGTTTCTTACTCTAATAAATATTTCGTTAAATTATTATATAATGGCTGTTATTTAACGAAGAATTTACGTATTCATCATAATATACTCGTCAAGGGAAGAAGAACAGAGAATATTAAAGCAAATTAATAGCAGCTTCGACTGGCCACACAACATAAGCAATATTGCACATACTGAAGTTCATGAATACAAGCATATTGTTTGCTAGCAGAAGCATGCATGCAGGACACTTCACACATACTGAAAATAAATTTTATTTAGTACCAGAAACATGCAAGACACTCCCCACATAAATGAAAATACATCTTATTTAGTACCAGAAGCCAAACTCCGTATTCAAGACATCGATCGATCCAAGCATGCTCCAAACTAACTTGCATGCATGCATGCATGCATTTATTTATTGCATCAGACGATTCTAATCAGTTGCATTGCAGTTGAGGAGAGCTCTGTGTGTTTGCCTGCTGGGTAAGGTGAGCATCAAAGTCTTTGCAGGTATCAACAAGCACGTGAAGCATCGCTTTTGGATCCTCAACATTCGTGCTCAACTTTTCGTATTCCAGAGACCAGTGTAGCACGCAGCCTTCATCCCTTGGAGTAACTTCAATACAGCACTTGAAGCTGTTGAACATTTTCAAGAGTGTTCCTTCAATTGTTTTGTATGAGGCTGACTTGTTCTTGTCATCTATTGCCACATTCACCATATTAAATGCAGTTTTTCCGTCTGTGTACGGTATCACACAAGTGAGAAAAATTAACAGTAATCTGTAATCAAACACATTATATTCATATATATATATATATATATATACACGTACATTTATATATGCATATAACTTCCGGTGCAGATTAGTTGTGAAGTTTTGAACATGCAAACTTGGTCGATAGTCGTAAAACAATTGACGATTGCAAGCAGTTTTATAGATTTACATGTTAAAATTTTCAAAACATCCGCATACTAGATGCTGACTTACCAAGGAGAAAGTTCCAGTTGTAAACGCAGCCCTCTTTGCCCCATTGACCTTCAAGTAAATCAACACTCTGAACATATTTAGGGCTTGCTTTGGCTATGTGGTAAGGGGTAAAGGTATAGAACTCAAAAACCTTGTCAGCAGGAGTCTTGAGCTCAACATCAGCCGTCATCTGACCAGAGAGAGCCATTTTGTTTACTAGTTTTGATTTGTATTCACACAGGGGAGGCAATTGATGATGGTTGGTGACATCAACCCTCAACGGCCTTCGGCTTATATAGGAGGAAATGTGAGTTGGTTGCTACTTTTCTGTTTAATTTGTTCAAGCACTACAACCATTCAGATCCTGCCACGTCGAAAGCTGAAGGGTCTTCACCTAAAAGTTATTCTCAACGAGAAATATACAACTAAAAAATGGTTCTAGAAAAGGCAAGAGGGAACATCATTAATTTAAAGATAAATTACCAAGAAGGGAAGAATAAGATTCGAGTCAAAGTACTTTGAGCAGAAGAAATCATGAAATTTCTTTTTGGATAAGCTATATTTATGCTCATTGTTTGAAGTTATTGATTCTATTTTAGATTTACAAGTAATTATAACATGCAACAATCGATGACAAATTTGACCGTCAATGGTTTAGTGTGTCATAAATCTGTCATTTATTGTTATGAGTTTGGGAGTAATTTAATGTTTTTGAAATAATTCCACAGATAATGAAAATATTATCTAAAAATCCCACAACAACAATTTAAAAATATTTTTGCAACTTTTTTGATTCCATAAAAATTCAATATTTATATATAGGAGAACAATATTCTCAAACCACTTGATGAAAATGAATCATTTAATGTGGTGCACGAGGACCACAACCATGAAGTACTGCCAATAAGAAATCAGGACCGTCGTGCCATATAATATCATTCATTTTATTTTTTATTTTTTTCAGTTTAAGTTTCAACATTATGTTTCAAAGTAATTTTATGAAAATTCAATGCATAAACCCTGAAATATTATAAATATTATTAATGATATTATAACTTTTTAAGTCTATATTACGATGAAAATTTTTAGCTAATAAGGAAATATATGTGTTAAAATTTTGGATAGCATGCTCTACGAAGGAATTTATTTCAAAATTAGTTCTATTTTTTTTAATGGAAAATATTTTAAAGCGAGAAATAATTATCTATAGATAGATGCTGTCTTATCTTTGACATAATTATATTCGTTTTTCCATATAGATGAGCATATTTACTTTTTTTAAAGCAAGTAAAGGGACTGTGGGAATATTGATAAAGTAATTGAGTCTATGGATAATGATTTCGTGGCACATTATTCAAATTCCTATTTCTATTTTAGATAGCAGCAGCGTAACACTGGATAGTATGTGTTGCTATTCTATGAAGTAACTCAAAAGATTGAATGTTAATGAAAAACTCTTGATATCCCTAGAGTTTAGGATTATTCATGCATTTATATCTGATGACTTTAAGTTTCGGCAAATTATTTAATTAATTAATATGAATGAATGCGCTGTGGAACCTTTCTTTATTATTAATTGTTGGGGTTTTGGCCTTTTAAAATTTCTTGATTTGATCTTCCAATTAGTAATTAGTTTCTCGTTAGCATTATGTTCTGCATATTAAGCCTCTTTGACAATCCTTAAGGCTAAGATAAGATATGTGCGAGCTGCAAGTAAAATGTTTTGGTTCTTTTCCTTTTCTGTGCTGATGATCACTTCGTTCAATGCTTTATTATCAGTATATACAAATGAAGCCTTGGCTGTCTTACTTTACGTTTATGTTTCATTGCTGGGAATATTTATTTTTTTATGCGCGCGTTAGTGAAGAAGGAAATGTAATTAAATACAAATTTGTTCACTGATCAGTTATTGAGATTGCCCTTGATTACTAGACCTCAAGAAAACCTAAAAAACTTGTCTAGGTAGTGATGTATTACTGAGGTTGCAATAGAAGTGGCTACTTACAATGCTTTTTGTAAGTGTTTTGTCAGCGTATGATCCTGTTTTATGTCTTGCACAGTCTTTAGGTTTATCTGCCAGTGTGGCCACTCTCTGTAAATGTGACCACCTTCACTAGTGTGGGTACTTCAGAGTTTGTGTAGTCACAATGCATATTGCAGATATTTTCCTCTCATATACACAATATGCACCCGTTTTGTTTTGGGACAATTATATTCCTTGAAGATATTTTGTTATGATACTTTTTCACTTGTCCTCCTTTTATTTGTTGTCTAAGAAAAGGTGTTTTTGCTTTTATTTGTGGTCCCAAGTTTCTTTTGCAAAAAGAAAGACACAAAAGTGAATATTTAACTTTTTTGTCCCCCAACCCTTGACGCCTTGAACTTTATATATTCATACTTCTTTGGCGTCTTCTTTAAGAAATCTGAATACTTCTGTTTTCCTCTCTGAATATTCTCTAAGGTCTTCATTTTGGTTAAGGTTTCTTATTATGCTTTGGTAGGCTTGAAATTACCTTCTATTCTTGTTCTTGTGTGACGACTTTGAAACTTGATTCCATGTTGATGAGTGTTGTGTGTAAGCTGATGTCCCAAAGATTGGTCTTTGCTGTTGAAATTTGAGAGGAGCTCAATTTCAACATGGTGATGCTGTGTTCGTGAAGCTTGTTGTGAGGACTTGAAGTTCAACCAAAGAAGATAGAGTTGTCGTGTAGAAAAGAAGGAGTGTTTTGCAACTTTGTTTATCTTGCTTTGTATTGGAACTCATAAGTATTTCATAGTGAATTTGCTTCCTTTGGACTTGGTCCCATGGATGTAGGCATGTTGCCAAACCATGTAAAAATGAGTGTGTTATTTACTTGCTTTGATGTATGTTTCGTTTATGTCTCTCAGAACACATTTGCACTAAAATGAACAAGCAACCCATTCCGCATAAATTTTAATCACTTGATAACCTCCTTAAAACTTACAATTGGTATCAGAGCTGCTTTTGAAGAGTTATTTTAGTAAATCCTTGCTGGTTTCTCTGGTCTTAAGTCTGTTTTGTGTTTGTTTGCTTTATTGGTAGTTTCTTGTCTTTTAGAGCAGATATGCTTGTTTTGAACTATGTGACCACCTTAGTTCTGTGTGATGACATTTGTTGTCTTGTCACTGTGAGTTTTTTCAGTGAAGGTGGGTCTACTCATAGACCACTGTTGTTGGAGGGGACTAGCTTTTCTTTCTAGAGACCTATGATGAAAGCCTTCTTAGAATCTGTTGATGAAAGGGCTTGGAATGCTTGTGTTGTTGGTTGGAAAGAACTATAAGTTATTGGTGAAGCTAGTAGTAGTAAAGGAAAACCCTTAGATCAATGGACCAAGACTGAGTTGGAAGAGTCAAATTTCAACTCAAAAGCTCTTCATGCTCTCTTTAATGTTAGTATTGACCAAATGAAAAATATTGCCAACTGTGAAATGGCTAAAGATGTATGGGATAGACTCCAAGTTAAGAATGAAGGAACTGACATGGTTAAAAAGACTAGACTTAGGAGATTGATCACTGATTATGAAAATCTTATTATGTATGATGATGAATCTATCACTAATTTTCATGGTCAGCTGTGTGATATCATGAATGAATGTTTTGCCTTGGGTAAGATTATACTAATTTTGAACTTTTCAGGAAGGCGTTGTGTTCCTTACCTATGAAGTTCATGTCCAAAGCAACCTTTATTGAAGAATGCCAAAATCTGGACGAGATGCAGTTGGATGAACTCATTAGGTCCTTACAAACGTTTATACTCAATCTAAAACGGTGGGAGAAGAAACCAGGAAATGGATTAGCGTTGAAGCATGAGGTAATATCTGAACCTTTTGGTTGTGTTGCTTCTAGTGATGGTGAGGAAGATGAGTGTGTGTTACTCACAGAAAATTTTGCCAAATTCTTGAAAAAGAACATGAGAAAACCAAATTTGGGCAAAAAGAGTAAGCAACCCTTTGTGAAAAAGTCCTTTGACAAGTTTGGTCAAGGTGCCTTCTCGAAATGATTTTCGAGAGATAATGAAAGAAAAAACAAAGGCATCAAGTGCTATGAGTGTGAAGGTTATGGCCATATTCAATCAGAGTGTGTGAACACTCTGAAGAAAAAGGGAAAAGCCATGGCTGCCACACTAAGTGAAAGTGATGACAGTGAGAGTGGAGGTGATGATATAAATGAGGATAAGCATTTCTTGGCTTTTACGGCTAACCAAGAGGATAGTAGAAGTATGACCTCAGATGATTAAAAAGATGTCTATAAAGAGCAACAAGAGGCTTATGAAAAGATGTATGAGTGATGGTTGAAAGCCATCAAGAAGATCAAATCACTTGAATCTGAAAATTGCATCTTAACGGAAGATAAGAAAGTATTGAATGATAAGTTGAAAGCCTTGTTTATTGATTTATCTAACAAGGAACTTTTATTAAATCAAGCTTTAAATGAGCTAACTAAGGCCAAGGCCATTGTTGAAAGATTAAATTAATGTAGGTTCATATAAACTTGATAAAGTTCTTGGCCAAGGAAAGTCTTTTGGTGAAAAAATTGGTTTGGGATTTTCCCTGGGTGCAAGCACTTCCAAACTTGGTGTGACCACCTTCACCAAGGTGAGCACCTTAAAATCGGTTGTGACCACCGCAGTCAACACAGATTTAGATCCAAAAGTTTTTGCTGCTCCTCCTGATCCTCCCTTGAAGGTAAAAAGGCTTGACTCTTGTTTGTCATTTTTGTCAAAAGATGCATTAGAAATCATGGTTTTCCCTCTAAAAAATCACCACATCAAAACAAGTTTTTCAAAAATAGAAAAATGTGGAAATCTAAGTCTAGTACCAATTGTTTGGTTACTCATACATCATTGCTTGCATTTCAAAATGACCAATGATACTTTGACAGTGGGTGTTCAAGGCACATGATAGACAACAAAGGTTTCTTGACTAATCTTGAATTCGCAGAGGCTGGTCATGTGACCTATGGTGATGGCAAAAGAGGTAAAATCCTTGGAAAATGGTCTATAGCCATTCCTGGTTTCCTTGTTCTGAATGATGTTTTCTATGTTGAAGGTCTTAAAGCTAATCTTATAAGCATTAGTCAAATATGTGATAAGGATTTTGTTATGAAATTTTCAAAAATTTGTGTCAAGTTTTGAATGATGATGGTACTTCAGTGCTTTAAGGGAAGAGATCAAATGATAATTGTTACTTATTGACTAACAAAGTTTCTTGTTTAAATTCAAAGTCAGATTG